ATTAGAGAATTCCACCGCCGAAATCCAGATCGCCTAAAGCCGACACGTCAAATTCGCCAGGAAACGGATCAACCTCCTAGAAGGCAGGCATCCGCGCGAAATCCACCAGCTCTAACATCTTAGGAGGCGCAGTAGAACCAGCCCTAGGAGAACCCACATCTATAGGACCTATAGAGGTATCAGCTAAGGACGCGCCACGTAAGCGCTTTATATGCCGATCGCTACCCTCATCCTTAGGGTTAACGGCATCCCCAGCCTCACAAGCAGCCTTAAGGCGCTTAATCTCCTCTAGATCCTCGACCGTCTTCGCCTTCTTAGAAATTATTAGATTACCACGACGCTTTAGTAAATCACGCTGCTTACGAACGCGCTAAAGACGGCTTATATTCTTCTATAACAAATCTAGTACTATTTGCTCCTCGGACTCCGTCTTATCTAGGGCACGCCGTAGACGGGCAACTAAGACAAGTTAATACTACGTAAAGAAGGGAAGAAGGAACCTATAATTAGAATCCTCTAGACCACCACTATTACAACCTATTAGGCCCCGACGCGTACATTCACCGCAGCGCTTATAACCCAAATCTATCTTGTAAACGACCTCACGATCGCTTCCCTTATAACGAACGTTCCACAACATACATTCCGTATAAGGAACAGGCATCGTATCTCTAAGAAGATCAATCTTAGAAGCTAGAGACTTACGCTCAGCCTTCTAGTCGTTACGCTTACGCTTCTCGCCGGCCATAGTAGAAAGACTTATAAAAAGAAAAGGATGAAGAAACGACACGAACTCCTAGATATATAACTAAAGGGAAATCTTCGGGCCGAAGATCCTTAAGGAGGGGGATAGTATTACGGACTATAAGGGAAACTAACCCGCAGGGTCGAGAAGACCTTATAGGAAGAAGGCCCACACGGGCCTAGAGACCTTAAGGGCTTAGTAACCACAAGGGCCCGCGTCCCGCAGGGCACCAGCAGACACGTACTAGGTAAAGCCGTAAAGGAACTAAGGCCACAACCCCAAGAAGCCTATAGGGGATTATCGTCTACAAGGGTAAAAGTAGTAGGCCGATAATAGACTTACAGAGCGATTAAGGATAAGGAACTTATCGCGTCCGCTCTAACGAAGGGAAGTTAGTTATCAAGCTATAGGAAACCGGTCGTCAGAAAAGTAGTACGAAAAGTTACATAACCTAGGACGATCCCTACGCACAGGCTAATAGATTAGAACTAATCTATATACCTAATCTAATATTATAATCTAAAGATATGATCCAGATTATTAGCATCTCCTACATGTATATAGACCACGCTCTCTAGCAGTAGATAGGACCTTCGTAGTAAACTCAAAGTATTAATCTATACTTATAGTTTAATAGTAACACGCCTATACCCGATCCTTCACGTAACTTATCTCTCAACTTCCTATACTTCTTATCCTTTAAGGTAAACCCTTCGAACCTACTTACCCGCTAGGCAATTCCAACGCCTAGGCTGAAGAGGCCTCGTTACAAGGCTCTCCGTATTTCTATAGCCCGTTTAGAGCGCGCGGAGAAATAGACTTCTTTATTAGAGCGTCGTAGAGCTTTAATACTTTATCGTAAGGCTTAGATAGTAGAGGATCTAGAAGAGATTAAGCGTCTTAAGGCTGTTTGTAAGGCTGGGGACGCTGTTAACCCTAAGGATAAGGGCGATAATCGGTATATAAAGCGCTTGCGTAGCGAGTCCTTAGCTAATACCGCTACGGGTCCTACGGATATAGGTTCTCCTAGGGCTAGTTCTGCTACGCCTCCTAAGACGTCGGAGCTAGTAGATTTCGCGCGGATACCTACCTTCTAGGAGGTTAATCCGTTTCCTAGCGAATTTGACGTGTCGGCTTTAGACGATCTAGGTTTCGGCGGTAGAATTCTTTAATAAGCTCTTAATATCCTTCGTAGTTCTTAGGTAGTTCCTAGGTATTATCCTAATTTCCTTCCTATTTTAGGAGATAGCGGAATTGACCGTTAATATAACCGCTGTCTAGGACTTTCTATACCGTCTATTCTTAGTTTTCGTCGGCGTTAGGGTTTTCCGGTATTATTTCTTCCGTCTATTATACTATAGGGGCGTTTTCTAGTGCCGGTTCTAGTAGTAAGACGTAAAAGACTAGGAAAATTTTTATTATATCCGGTAATTTGAGACGATAATTAACTTTTCTAATTTGTTTATTAATTTTGAACGGTCTAATTTTCTTAAAGTCTAATTTATTATTTGGCCGTTTCGTCCGGATGTTTTTTCTGAGAAGGTATACTTTATCCCCCTCTTTAAAGGTTGGTGCCTCCTGGTGCCGTCTATTATAATATTTTAATATTAGAAATCCGTTATATTCTATGTCGAGGCTTAACTGTTTATATAGTTCTTTTAGCTAGTCTGCTTTTAGGATTCCTTTCTGGGTAAGCGACTAGCTTAGTTACGGCTCGTTATAAGCCGTTGGCTTATATCTATAGTTAGCGTAGAACGGTGACTCCTAGGTGGTTATTGCCTTGGTACTATTGTACGCGAACTGGGCGAGTGGTAAGAGTTCTACCTAGTTGTCTTATGCGTAGTTAACGTAATAGCGTAGGTGTTGCTCTAGTATCTGGTTTGTTCGTTCTGTTTATCCGTCTGTTTGCGGGTACGCCGTGGTGGATATCTTATGTTTTAAACTAAGCTGACGGGTGAGAGTCTGCTAGAATTAGGAGGTAAATAACTTATCCCTATCTGATACTAGCTCTTCTAGTAGCCCGTGGTTGCCGAGGATTATTCTGAGGAACGTGTAGGTAAGTTCTTCCGCGTTTACCGTTTTGAGGTAAGGTAGGTAGTACGCGTACTTTATGAGCCTGTCGATAATAACGAGTATCGAATCGTATTTTACCTTAGTAAGTAGCTCCTTCGAGGGTAGTAGATCCGTGATAAAATCTAACGAGATCGACTGCTATAGTCGCTTAGGCGCCTTAAGTAGCTGTAGTAGTCCGTAGGGAGCGTGTCTTGCGGCTTTGCTTCGGATGTAAAGATTATACTGCGAGATTACTCGCTAGACTGTTTTCCTGAGGCCTGGGAAGTAGAAGTGCCGGGTGATTCGTTCGATTATCTTGTCGGTTCCTTGGTGACTATATGCCGGTAGCTTATAGATATCTTTGACTAGGCCTTCTCTGAGCGTTGTGGGGACGTAGACTAACCCTAAAAATAGGATTATTCCGTCGGAGTCCTTTGTTACTCTTGGGTCGTCTTTTATTTCTATAAGTTCTTATACTATCGTATCGTGGTGGTATTCCTGCCGAATCTTTTCGAGCTAGGAACTATTTTCGAGTCTAATCGCCGGTGCTAGCTGTCTGCTCGGGACGTATCCCTCTGGTTCTATGCCGAGCTAGTATTGCTTTATGCGATATACCGGGGCGACTGCCCTTGTAGGTTCTAAGGAGCCGTCCTCGTTTTGCTGTAGTACCGCTAGCTGAATACTAGGTTTCCCTACGAGGTGATCGGCTCTTCTGCTTAGCGCGTTAGCTCTAGCGTTCTTAGATCCCTTTCTGTAGGTGATTTTTATATTGTAGGACGCTAATTCTTTAGCCTACCTGACCTGTCTTCGGGTTAGTTCCTTGGTAGTGGTGAAGTGAGTTAGGTTCTTATGATTATAATAGACTATAACCTGGTATTTTGCCCCTTTAAGGTAGTGTCTCTATTCTTTAAAAGCCGTAATAATAGCTAGGAGTTCCTTGTTATAGACATCGTAATTTAGCTCCGGTGGGGTTATCTTTCGTAAGTAATACGCGATAGGGTAGAGTTTTCCTTATTCGTCTAGTTAACTAATATAAGCCCTAATAGCGTAGTTAGAAGCGTCGGTCTCGACAACGATTAGTAGTTCCGGGTTATAGATCCTAAGGACGGGAGCTTCGTAGAATATTCGTTTTAGCGAATTGAAGGCGATTTGCTAAGCTTCTTCCTAGTTAAATCTATACTCTTTTCGTACGAGTCTTATGAGGGGTTCTAAGACTTCGGCGTATTTCTAGATGAATTTCCGGTAAAAGTTAGTAAATCTAAGGAAGGATTATACTTCTTTAATAGTTCTAGGTATTAGCTAGTCTCGTATAGTATCTAGCTTCTTTTCGTCTATCTCTACGTGTCCTGGTGAGATGACGAAGCCTAGAAATTCCGTCCTTTAGACGTGCTATTTGTACTTCTCTGGTGCTACTTGCAGGTCTTTACCTTGTAGTGCCTAGAATACTTTCCTAACGTGTTCTTTATGCTCCTCTAGGGTCTCCGAATAGATAAGTATATTATCTAAGTAAGCTATATAGAAAACGTCTAAGTAGTTGCGTAACGTATCGTTGACTAGACTTTAAAACGTTCCTAGGGCGTTGGTAAGACCGAAAGGTATAACCGTATACTCGTAATATCCTAGGCGGGTTCTAAATATAGTTTTCTATTCTTTACCTTCCTTTATACGTACTAGATAGTACCCTTCCCGAAGGTCGAGTTTAGTAAAGTATTTCGCCGTCCGCAGCTTATCTTAGAGCTCGGTAATTAATAGTAATAGATACCGGTTCTTAATTATAATATCGTTTAGCTAACGATAATCGATATAGAGGCGTAATTTACTATTCTTCTTAGGAATAAATAAGATTGGGTATCTGGCTGGCGAGCTTGATGGCCTAATATAGCCGCGTTCGAGATTCTTATCTAGGTAGTCTCTTAGTACCTTACTTTCTTTTTCGGAGAGCGCGTAGATGGGCTTAAACGCTAGCTACGTGCCTAGTAATAATAGTATCTCGTGATCCTATGGTTTGTGTTCCGGTAACTAGCCTTTATCTCTTTCCTAGAAGATTGCTCGGTAATCCTAGTATTCTTCTAGTACCGTTTCTAGTTCGGGAATAGGCGGTTCCTTCTCTCGCTTTAGAGGCGTACTAAGCTGGTATATTCCTTTCGTAGGTATAGGTTTTCCCCCTAGTAGGTAACCTTCCTTGATCCTGTTTAGATTATCTCCGACGGCCGGTTTTGGACCGTCGGATTTTAGCCTATTAGCCTGTATGTGTGCTAGAATTCGGTTTTCCGTTTCTTAACTAGGCTTTAAATATATTATGTAGATCTATTCTCCTCTGCGCCTTATTCGCTTAAGCGCTACGGCGGAGATTTCTTTAATTTCGATTGGTTCGGGGTTCCTGTGTTCTTGTTCCGAAGGGTCCTTTTGGGTAGCGCGCGTACTATTCGGTCCGTTTTAAACGCTCGGTCCTCTAGAGCTCTAGTACTTATAGCTCTGGCTTCTCTAGTTCTGGCTACTTTAGCTCTAACTCTTAAGCTCTGGCTTTTCCTTCCTCTAGCTCTCTAGGCTCTCGCTTACGTAGCTCTCGGTTTTCCGCTAGGCTTCTATAAGGTGTCGGTTATAGTCTTCGTCCGGGAACGTAATTTCTCCTATTCTCTATCGAATATAAGGTTTATGTATTCTTAACTATGGTATTCCTAAGATTATGTTATAGGAGGCGATAGTTGTAATATCTAGGTTGATTTTCTCCTTGTGTGGTCTAATAGTAAGGGTTAATTAGTTAGTTTTAATTCGTACCTATCCTTTTCCGTATATAGAGGGTGTTCCGTTAATCGTGTTAAGCGCGTAGGGTTCGTTCTTAGCTTAGTATAGTAGGCGATTTTTAATAATAAAAGCGGGACTGATAAAGTTACCGCTAGCTCCGCTGTCTATTATAATTCTAGCGCTTTTCCTATTGATTTTAGTAGTAA